ACCTTAGGAGCACATCCCAAGTACATAAGAACAGAACAGCAACATCTTATGAGCTGGTGGATAAATACAGGGAGAGCATGCCAGACAGCAGGATGTACAGAGAAAAAGGTTCTTGTGTCATTAAAAGAAGCTAAACAAAAGCAACACTATAACAGCAGCTGCATATGGGGTCTCAGGCTCAGTCCCTGCAGATGCTTAGCGATCACAGCAAAGCAGCACATTAGTCCGCACCCCCCAATCACATGACTCTGCTCAGGCGGAGCAAGACAGACACATTCAAGCAGACAGGAAATAAATAAAAAGGGAACTACGATGAGCAAGTGGCACAAGACCAAGTCTGTCTGTGCTACTGAGATGCAGCCGGACCCCCACCCCGGGCAGGCACCTGCTGCCCTCCCGCTCTCCAGACAGAGGGCTGTATTATATGAGGGTCGAGATACTTCCTGCCAAGGGCCCTTCGCTGGTTTTATCGACTATGCCCTGCCCGGCAGACCGAGAGGGAGGATCCCTACAGGCTTGGGGGAGGGGGGGGGGAGGACACGCAGCCTCGAGAGAAATGAAGGGGGAAGGTGGGCCCCGACGCCCGTTCTTCAACTGAACCCGAAGAGGCCCCAGAGGAAGAAAGAGCCAGATCCGCTCCCCAGGTGCAGGGGGCCACAGCGGCCACCACAGCCAGGCCATACTCACAGCGCTGCCTCACGAGCCTTCTTCCCCTCACAACTAGGGTGACCAGATGTCCTGATCTTATAGGGAGAGTCCCAATATTTGGAGCTTTATCGTACATAGGCGCCTATTACCCCCCCCCCGGCGCACAGCCCTGCCCCTCTCCCCAGTCAGGGTGGGGGGACATGGGTGCAGCTCCCCCATCGGAGCTCTCCACCGCCGGAGGGTGGGTGGGGGACACTCTCCAGACCAGGACGGGATCAGGGTCCGCTCCCCTTCTCTCCAGGCGGCCCGTCACTCACCCGCGGTTGGGCCCCTTGGGCACGAACCAGGGCAGGATGCCGCCGACTACCCCCCAGAAAACGCTCATGACGATGATGGGCACAGTGAGGCCGCCGTACGCCATGGCTGAGCGCTGCACTCTGACACACTCGCGACGGCACCACTTCGGGGTCCTACTCGGCTCGGAATGGGCCGCCGCCGCCACAGCTGCTCGTGGAGCCCCGCCCCAGCCCCGCCGACCAACCAGCGCCCGGCACGTGACATTGGCTTGAGCCCGCCCTGCCCGGAACCCCCGCTCGACCTGGTCCGCGCGTGCCCGGCTCGGGGCTCACAACGCCTGCGCGGCTGGCTTACCCAGCCCATTCGGCAGTTAGAGGCGCGGCCTGGCGGCCGGCCACACTTTTGGCTTCGGGTTCTCGCCCCCCAGCACGACACCGCCCTTGGGAATAGCTGGTGCCTCTAGTCCCGCAGCCTCCACCTGCGGGAGGGAGCTCCGGTCCGGGGCTCCTGTAGGCGGCCCCTAGGCCTAGCCCCGGCGGCTTCCCGATTCCTCTCAGCAAGAGACATAAGGCGGGCAGTCCCCCAGCACCGGTGGAGAGGACAGAGCAGGGTCGGCTCCAGCCGCCCAGAGGCTGCAAGGCCGCCCCCCCTGCTGCTCATTCCTTACTGCACAGCTACAGGATGCAGAGATTCCCACTGCCTGGCAGTGCGAAGTAGCCCCTATGGACTCTAGGCTTGAACAAGAAAGGGGACCCCACCGTGCCAGGACCTGTAGGAGTAGAGGAGGGCAAGCCCTACCTTCAAGAACTTAGTTTAAAGCAAGAAGCCAGAAAGAAATGGAACAGCTAGTGAAACTCTTCTGAGGGTGCTGTCAGCTCCAGGAGCAGCAAGTTCAATTGCTTTGTCCATGTGAAGTGGTTTCAACTTGGATTCTCCATTTCAAATCTTAGATTGTAAGGGTAGAGACTATACTTCTGTACAGCACCTACTGTATCAGAGGCCATATCTGCCACCATAACAAAACTGATGGGCCTTTGTTGGTACAGCACACAAGATTATATTCACATTCTCCAAACGTATAGTGCTATCACATTCATATCAGTGGAAAAGTGGCCCTTTGGTCTAAAGCAGTGATTAGGAGAACTTGGGATTCACTTCATAGACCTCGCTCTGCCTCCCTGGATGACTTAGGTAGGTCACGTTACCTATGCATTTCACTTTCTCCATCTGAACTTTGAGATAAATACTATGTTTCAAAGATTAAAGGATAGAGATGGACTAGTTATTTTGCTAAAATAGTGGAAATACTCTTCCCACTTCTCCAACATGGCCATGTCAATAGTTTACCCATTCCCACATGAACAGAAACTAAAGTATATTAAGCACTGTGTTTGTACGTGTGGAAAGAGGTCTACAAGGGTATGTCTACACTGCCTATGCCAGCTGACTTGGGCTCAGGCTAAGGAGCTGTTTAATTATGGTGTAGATGTTCCGGCTTGGACTGGAGCCCAGGCTCTAGGACAGTGAAGTGGGAGGTCACAGAGCTCGGGCTCATCTATCTCTGCAATAAATAGCCACACAAGCCCAGTCAACTTGCACAGACCAGCCATGGCTGTCTAAGTGCAGTGTAGACATTCCCAAAGAGACTATGATGAGGCCTCAATTTATGCAACAGCAGTCTACAAATTATTTAAAACATTCCAAATTAATCTTTCCTCTGGATTCTCACTGCTTCTCATGTTTTAGATGGTAAATCTTCAAGGCAGGGGCTGAATTTTTGTCCAAAAAATCAATAATCAGTGATTGATAAGTCATTCCCTGTGCCAGTTAACTATCCAGTAAAGGTGAACTGTTTTCACCAGTCTGCAACAGCTTTCGGTCATTTCTATTACATTCATGTCAAAGCTCATGGAATTATGTTTTACTTACATATAATTTCACAAAGTGCTGAAAATGAAGGAAGCCTGTTCTCAAACTTCAGTAATAATTTAAAGGCACATCCCAACTCAGTAACTGCACAGAACTAAAATAAAGCTACCACAACTGGGTACTTTTAATACCTTGGTCTGTCTTTTACTTCCACTTCATTACATGCCAGTGTAAAACTAACATGAAGACAAGCCCATTAACTTATTTGAAGACAAAAGTTGGCTAGTGCAAGAGCATGTGGTTGCAAGCATTGCACTCATCTGCCTCGAAAACAAATCTTTGTAGAATAAAAACATGGCCAATTTCTCCCACTTATTTTGCCAAGTATGTAGCACTTCGAACCAAATAACTTATGTTCCTTCATGGTTTTATACGACTTAAAGTTTCATTTATAGGGATGGAGAGGAGAAAAAGACCCAGTACATGCACTATTCATTCTAACCACATGTGCTTTCTCCCCAGTTGTCTTTTCAGCCGCCCCCCCCCCCACCCCACACACACACACTTTCCTTCATCAACTCTTGTTCTTCATTTCTTAGACTGTAAACTCTTAGGTATAGCGTCTGTCTTTACTGGCTTTGTAAAAAGGCATATACATCTCTTGTACTACATAAAGGAATACAAGAATTAATGTGCATACATGATGAGAAGATATTAAATCCGCTTTAACCAATTTAAAACGTCCAATGGATAAGAAAACAAGCCTGTTCTTTTAATTAGTAGAAGTGCTTTTCTGAGCATCCAATATTAACATGTGAAAGTGGTATGAAGACAAACACCAATCCAGACAGACTGTACCAACGCTTCCAAAAGTAGAACACACAACAATACATTTCATTTTAGCAGTTCTTTTAATGGGTGACACACAGGAGACCATTCTATTCTTGCATCTTTTCAATGGTTTCTTCCTTGTATTTGCCCTTCTCCTTGCCAACCTGGCGAGACTTTGCTTTGCGTTCCAAGATCTTTTTGCGATCCTTGTCCAATTTTAGCCTAGTGATCACCACCTAGAGAAAAAGGAGAAATAGTAAAAATCCTGTAATATTAAACTCTGGCAGAGAACTGTGCCATCCTAACACCTTGAGAGTATCACAGTTAAACCTCTGCCTCCCCACTGACAGGTCAGGTCCTCTTAATACACAGCGTGAGAGAACCAGTGGAAAGCAACAAGGGGCATTCATCCGAGAATAACTTGGTTTTCCTGATGGCCAGCTGATTTCTTCCTTTACACTGAATTTTCATCTCCTTGTTTCACTTGCTAGCCTACAAGTTTTCCAGAGCCCAGAGTTTCATGTGAATTGGAAAACTGCATCGCAAAGGCCAGCACATGAATACATACAATTCTAGAGCTTGTTCCATGGACTCACAATAGACAAGGTGAGTGGGGTAATATCCTGGGTCCAACATGTCTGCAAATAACAATGGACTGAAATAGACATTCAGGTATTTGGGAATTGATAGCCCTAGTGTGCTGCAATAAATTGAATTTATAGATTTTACTCTTAAACTTGTCTTAGCTACAGGTAGAGGTTTTCTGGGTGCGAAGGTTATTGCAAACCAGCCAGCCAAAGAATGAAATTATCAGAGATACATGATATTGCTTGTATTATTACCAGATGCTATACAAAGTATGTGGCTTAGAGCTAAAAAGACTATATACTTTAACCCTTTCCCTACTGTTCCCTCACTGCATCTGCTCTACTATCCAGAATTTTCATCAAAGTCTTAAAGAATGTTATCTGATAAAAAACAAACATGCATATGCAAATTCACAACTTGCATCAAGCTGGGATGTATAGAATTTGGAGCTAGTGGCCATTACACCATGTAAACTGACACTGTATTTGCAGAACTGCAACTGATTACATGTAATGATCATACCTTCAGAGAGCTTCCTTCACCATTCACTAGCACAAGTACCAAAAATAAGCAACTTAAGCAAAGGTGTCCACAGTAACAACTCCTCCCTCTTTACAGGGCACATAATGAGATATCCCCATAATTTTGGAAAACACTGCTGCTGTTGGCCGTGCTATTGGTTTAGCAACAAAACATTTAGCATGGCCAATACATGTATTCAATACAGAATATTTTCAAAATATAAACAATATGTTGACCAGTTTAAAGACAAAGATTATAAAATAAAATAGGTTAAAGAAAAGTAGCAATAACTGATGGTAAATATCATTCATACATATACTTGGTTTATACAAATAAATCATTCAATAGAGGACCATCTTGGGCAGTTTATCATAGGTAGATTCTCAAACATTTTGATTAAAGTTTGCTTTCTTGTAATTATAAATCTGCATTTCCCTGTGCTCCAGCCTTGAAATCTTAAAGGTGCCACAGGACTCTCTGTTGCTCTCTTTTAGAGATTCACCAGATAGCACAACCAGCCCAAGATCAGCAAACTGCATTGCTTGTACACCCTACAGTTAAATATCTTTCAAACCAAGTTCAGCTCTGAGTCTGTTAGCAAGTTATAGAATAGCACTTCTCCAGAAAAAAAATCGTCCATGTTTGCGTAGTGGATAGAAAGCATCTGGGAAATAATACTAATGGAAAAAGTTTGTCATGCAAACAGCTGACAACATTGCAAATACAATTTTACTGGTCCCCTTTCTTGGAGTGCAAGAGTCACCAACCTGTGTGCACTCTGCTGTAAATGCATGGCTGCTGTCAAAAGGTTACAGTCTGGTCAGGCAGTTATCAAATCTTATTAACACATGGGTACATTAGTGATTACTTGCCAAACCCAATTTGCTTACAGATTCCTGAAGTTATTTCATAATAAGACAGTGATAGACACACAAATTTCCAATGGGCACCTTTGGAGTTTCCAGACCCTTGCAGCAGCCTATTACTTTTCTGCCGCTCCAGCTGGCAAGGAAGTAACATAACTGGATTAAGCAGTGCTAAAAGAGCAATAAGCAGTGCTAGAAAAAAACAGATACATAAACCCTTACATTTGTGAAGTAATGAGTTAATGAGATATCTACGGTATCTCCGATCAAGCAATATTTTGATACTATTTGCTTTAAAAAAATGCAACTCGGGGGATCTAGTTCTAATACAGCCACACAGATCTGCAGTAGGGCTGTACAATCTAGCCAGTATTCATTCTGCTCCTGCCAGCATTGAAGAAATAAATGCGACATCAATGGGACAAAAGAAGGAATCCTCCTGCTACAGTGAGGCAGAAAACTGCAGAATTCCTGCTACCCCCCTATAACAGTGGTTCTCAAACTGTAGGTCATGACCCTGTTTAAAAGGGGTCACCAGGGCTGGCATTAGACTGGCTAGGGCTCAGGCTTCAGATTCAATCCTGGGTGGTCGGGCTCAAGTAACAGGCCCCCCCCGCCAGGGGATGAAGCCCTTGGGCTTCGGTCCTCCCTGCCCAGAGCGGTGGGGCTCAGACAGACTCAGGCTTCGGTCAGTCCTCTTGGCGTTGTACAGTAATTAATTTTTGTTGTCAGAAGGGGGTTGCAGTGCAATGAAGTTTGAGAACCTCTGCCCTAGAAGTTTACTACATAACCAGACTGTCCTTTTTCCTTTTTTGTATTTGCAGCTGGTAATTTCCTTATGGAAACAGAGCCTCCTTAGGAGACACTGCTTTCTTGGGGGTGGCCCAAGACTGGAATTAATTCCTAAAGGAACTAAGGACCATTAGAAAACTCATTACTTTTCACTCTTAAGTACAAATCAACATCTTCCTCTGGGGAAAAGAATGACAGATGTTAGTCATTTTGCTTAATGCACTACTGGAAGACACACAGCTACTATAATGATGAGTGTGTTATAAGAACCTATCTAGAATAGAATGGTAGATGTGATGCATTACAGATGAGGTCATATTTCCACTGTGTGTAGATTTGTGGTGGAACCCATTAGCTCAAACCCAGTATCTGAATACAAAACTGTGTTCGTTGGATATAATTCTGTTTCCCTCTATCACATGCACAGTTTGTTAGAGGTTTCAGGAAACCTGCCAGAGCTGGGTTCACTCAAAACTACCCTGGCCTGGTCAGTGTCGGCCAGGCAAAAGTCTTGTTTTATCTACTTCAAACTAGGTTTCTAGCTAGCTTTGCTGTTATTTCATTAGTTACCTATATATTCTTAAATGCCTGTCTATAATGAGCAAAATAAGCATTTCCTTCATCTTCACTGAATACAAACCACCTTAAACCATGTTAGGCTGAAGCCAGATTCAACCAGCAATATTCTTCCTGGCAGCAACTCCTTAATTTATGGAGCTGTATTTAAGTATTTCTAATGCATCCATCAGAGTGGCAGAAATGCCATATGGCAAGGCTGAAGGATGGACCAGATCAATCCACAATGGATGACAATCCCATTTTCACCACTGCAGAGGACTGGTGTGTGTGTTGGATGGGGGAGGGTCCCCCAACATGGCAGTTACTAAGTGTGGATGTGCACTTACAGTATTTAAAAAAACAAAACAAAACAGTACTTCTGTTTTTAAATAACCAAGCTTTTTGGAAATTTTACAAAAAGCTTTACCTTTCACAAGACCCTGCAGTTCAGATGCAAATAATTTCTTCATGGTCAGTCAATTCACAGCAGGAAACAACCCCAGAGTTCTGGTTCCTACTTCCCTGCTGCAACTCGGACATTTCCTCACTGTATAGTTATGCCAGCGCTCCGGCGTCTCAAACTACTGTGTGTGCTAGGAAAGCACTCTACTTCTATAAACTGCACCTATTTCCAGAGCTAGCAGAAATTCCTTTTGGGAATTTCAGTTCCTATGCACCTATTATACCTTGCTAGGATGGATTCCAACATGGACTGTTGTGCCGTTGGCCTTCTCACGCTGTACGCGTTCAATGTAGATGACGTATTTTTTTCTGTATACCTGGACTACCTTGCCGATTTGCTGGCCTTTATAATGTCCCCGGACAACCTGACCAAAAAAAAACCAGAGCATTTAACTTTCTCAAGTTTCACAAACTCAGTCTCAGACATAGATAAGAACTCTAAGATCTTCACAGGCTGAAATCCCACCTTTATCTCTTGTATGCAACATTACAGTGAGATAGACAATATAATGTTCAACTAGATATCACCTTGTTCTGTATTTCTCTTTCAGTAGGGTTACCATATTTAAAAAATAAAAAAAGAGGTCACTACACAGGGCCCTGGCCCCGCCCCTTTCCCACCCCGGCCCTGCCCCAACTCCGCCCCTTCCCCAAAGTCCCCGCCCTAACTCCCCCTCCTCCCTCCCAGCCACGCGAAAAGGGCTGCCCAAGCTCTACCGGCTTCATGGTTTGCCGGGCAGC